GTTCGTCCATCAACTGTGGTCGCTTTCAATTAAAAAAAGTCCTGGTCTTAAAGATTATCTTTATTAATTTGAACAGCACTTTTAACATTATCGGTCTACTCAACCATGTCTTATATTTTGGAAAATTCCAAATGGGGCCCTTCGCTCGGACTTAAATATAGCAACTTGAGGTTATACTTCAAAGGGGCACCACCGTCCCTAAGCCCCACTTTGAGATGCGAAAAAACGCCGACCAGCACCAAAGCCATTTGCAGACTGACCAACCGCATGCCTAGAACCCAACGAAAATATGCTATTAGTCTCCTCAAAAAGCTTCAAAGTTTCACTTACGGAGTTGGCTGCCAGCTCCTACCCCAAACGGCAGGTAAATGTCTTCATTCACTGGTATGCTGTGCATAAAACGATCGGGTTCGAAGGCTTCAGGTCTGGTGTAGAATCGACGATCCCTGTGGATACCCAGGGTTGACTGGAGCGTCAGGCCGCTTTTAGCCGGGTCCCTGCGCAAGGGCTTGCTCTGCTGGATGGTGGTGGATACCGGTGGGTACTTTCGGAATGTTTCTGAATAAGAAATAGACTGTAGAATGGAAATTATGCTTTTCAGTGTATCAGTTTAGTTGGTCAATTGAGAGTCGTGAAATCGGGCAGTTTAGAAGCGGCTGAAAAATTGGCAAAAAGGCTCCGAATTGAGTGAGATTTCAATCAGCTACAGTATAGAACCTTCTTTATATCAGGCGAAAATGTTGAGCAGATTTCTTGATCGTATTCGGAGAGCAAGTTCGCCCTTTTTTGTTAGTTTGAGGGCTCTCTCTTTCTCAAGTGTTTCTCAAAAAGCAATAAATACTTAAATATCAGTGAAACGTTGTCCATTTGGAGCTTAAACCTCTGCCTATGGCGTAACAAATAATAAGCTAAATAAGTTGAAAGCATTTCTTCAGCTGTTGCATCCTAAAGTTCGAGGTATTGTAAAAAATGTACAGTTTCTACCATTTCAATGCGAATCAGCCCATGAGAAGCTGAAATATTTTTGTAAATTGTGGAAAAAAGTTTGAGCTGATTTGACTTGTACTGTTTTTAACATATATATAACAGATATTTTCAATAATTAGTTGATATGGAACTTGAATTATTCTCTTCCACTTTTAAGAAATTACTTAAGTTACAACTGCCACTGGTTTAGCAGCCAACATTTTTTGGTCGGTGAAAATTTGTAAACAAATTGTTCATATTAGCCAAAGGTTTGAAGGATTCTGAAAAATCAATCAATTAGCTGTATGAAGTGAGATTTGAGCCCAGTAATGCCTGAAATCTCCTTGAGAGTCGGGAGAAAAACTAAGTAGAATCTTTGCCCCAATTCGAAGTTAGAAGTGTTTTCAGCCCGTACGTAAATTTCAAAAATTCGATTATCTGAACCTGATGTTTGAAAATTCCTAAAAAATTCGCGGATGCTGTGATTCAATTGAAACTTTGCGTAGCTGAAGCTTAATGTAGAAGATTTTCAAGAAAATTTGTTGTCGCAATTTCACCCTTTTTCTTGTTGGTTGGTGGGCAAATTTCAAATGTTCCTTTATTTAACACTTTTGYTTGATGACTTCTGAAAAATMAATGGAAACTCYRATTTAAATRAAACTTTGTCCATCTSCTATWTSRAASCCCCTTTTATATTRGRAGAMAATTKYAAGTAGTTGATTTTACCCAATTGAAAGTTACAATTTTTTTAGTTCGCGTGCAATTTTGCGCCGGTGCTTTCTATGCACCCAGACGTTCAATACCTTCCAAAAAATCGGTAAATACTGTATATACGTAAATGAAACTTTCTCCATCTCCTACGACAAACCCTCTCTATTTTGTGAGCGAATTTSAAGTATATAAGACCACTCAACTTGAATTAAMAATTATTTYTTCAGTTCTCAYGCAATTTTCAAACCCYTATCTGCGGATTATCCTTCAGGATGTTCGATGRCTTCTTAAAAATCAACGCGAACTTCAAATTATATGAAAATTTGTCTCCTGCAGGCATAAAACTCTCTCAACACTGTGAGAGAAATTCAATTACATTTTCCCGCTAATTTTGGAACATTAGGCAGATATTTTTCAGTTGCTTCAAAACTGCGCTTGCTCTAAAATTCCCCTAATCACTTCAATACATACCTTTAATAGTGGCATTTAAAAACTTCATCCGGCCTAAGTTTTCAGACGTCAAGGCCTCATTCTTCTGATTAAATCGCCTAATTTCGCTCATCAGTTTCTGCTGAATTTCACTGTTAATCGCCAGTTCGTAGAAGCAAAACAACAGCGACGAACAACTATAGCTTAGAGTGTCTAGAAACGCATTAAACACTTCTTCTGCAATGTCATCGACTGTGTAGTCGGATCCGTTGAGTAGCCGTGTAAAGGCCTCGATCAGATCATTAGCTTCCGAGTCATTTTTCTTCCGGGCCTCCATCAATTCCAGCAACAGCTTGTGAGGTTTTGGGGGGCTTTGAAACTTCTGCAGCACTGGAAAGCCTAAAAGCAGATACTTGTGGGATGTGGCGACGTTTTCCTGGAGCAGCTCGATGATTTTTCCCGCCAGTTGAGGAGCTTGGAAGCCGAAGAGCAAACACGTGGACTCCCATAGGTAGTATTTGAGGACTTTGGCCGCAGCCAACTTGAGGAGGGATTCAGGAATGGCTTCTTTCACTGAAGAGTTGAAATTTTTGATAAAGCAGTTGGAGACGTCGTGGTTCAGTAGAGCTGCAGCCTCTTGAGGTTTGAGCTTGCACTCTTTGGGAATCACTGAAGTTCCGTTGGAGGCTGGATCCACTGCTACAATCCCCGGCTTGACCAGAACGAACATCCCTCCAAAGCGCGAATTCTTCCTGTTGAACTTTCTGTAGTACTTCCATAAACACGTGTGCAAGCAAGTGTTTTCTTTGATGATTTCGCCTAAATTGTCAATACTTTAGCGTAGAGCCTCTGGGGATCTCCGCCTTTTCAAAGAAAGTGTATGTCTTGAGGATCCATACCAGGCCGAACAAGGCGGCAAACATGCAGATTGTGATGCAATAAAGCAGATAATGAGGCTTGATGTGGTTGAGGAAGGTAAACTGTGCACTTAGGCAGATGTTGCTGAAGCTCATTGTGGATATTCCGAACTTAGGCACTTGTTAGCACATTAATTAGACAATGACTCGACGATGTCAACGAGAATCGATAATAGTGTTTTGGATTGGACTCGAGCACGTGAACTCATGCAATCTTTACCAGCGGTTTAGATGGACGCACATTTCGCTTAGCCTAGTTTGCGGATTTTGCGGCAGGAATGTGGTATAAAAATGTGTATATACAGTTAAAAATTTGCTTAAAAAGCAATCAGTATTCTACATGTTTGCTTGTTCGTCAAATGACTGTGATTTATTAGGGACATAATGGATCAATCAATTGCCGACATTTTGTTTTTTTTCTAGTATTTATTTAACATTAACAAAGTTGACTGTGAACAGATCTAAATAAATAGAATTTTAATGTTTCGTTTTCAGGCAATGTGAATATTTTAGTTGCAACACTGAGTTGATGAGCAGATTGTTGAAATGTGGATACAACAAATGGGTCATATTAAATGTTTTAAAAAAATATATTGGTTGGCTAAATTTGGATCAATAAACGATTTTGTTGAACCGCTATCGATTAAAAGGTTTAAATTATGTTCAGGGAATATTATGTACGATAATTCGCTGACATGCATGTTGTCGCTTCATCTTCATGCTTCAAAATCAAAACTGTTGTTTAAAAGAGAAAGACTTTTTACTTTTGGCGTTTTTTGAAATTAAAAAACTCATGCCCCTGTTGCGGTTTTGGAAAAACCCAAAGCTAGTTAAATGAATTAATTTCTCTGAACATCAGCTTTTTGCCGTTGAATTCAGACCCAAACTGAAAACAATTTTTAATTCAAATAGTAGACTTTTCTTCAAGTTGCGAGGGTTCTTTAGCAATCCAAATGAGAAAATCCAGTTTGCGACCACGTGGCAAAAAAGGCGCAACATCAGCTTAATTTTAAAAATCTTCAAACTGCGATTTTTACGATTCGCCTTTTTGGAAATTAAAATTCTATGAAAAATGTAGTTATTTAAAAAAAATCGCTTAACGCCCCGGAACTTCGTTCTCCTTATGTTAATTTAAAAAATCTCAAAACTGTCTTAAATACGATGATTTTTCATACAGTTGACCTTGTTTTAAATTTAATTTCGTTGAAAAACGTCGAAGTTTCGAAAAAAAAGCATTTGACAATCCGCATAACTTTCTTATTCTTCACTTCATCTTAAATTTACCCAAAGGAAAAATGGCCAGGGCTACAAACTCAAATCTGTTGAAAAACATTGAAGTTTTGCCGAAACTTTTCTTTTGCAATTCGAGACCAAAAAGTACTTAATTTCATTTCATTTGGGTCAATTTCAAAAGTCTAAAATTTGCCTAAATAACGATCAAGTTTCCTAATAATCGCCTCTTGAAAAATATTCAAATCCCTTAAAAAACATGAAAGTTACAAAAACGGTAAAACGATTTTTTACTTTTCTTCCAAAGAAAAATAAAAAAATGTTGATCAATTGTTTTAAAAGCAGTGACGAGTTTAGTTCTGGGTAGAAGCTGGACGAAGTTGTTCAACCAGTCAAGAAAAATTCGAATCTGAAAACCGCATGACTACCTTATCCATTATGTTATTTCAAAAATCTAAAATGTGTCTGCAAGCGCATGACTTTATCTAAAGGCCAAATTGTTTGAAATAAAGATCCGCTAAAAAATGTAAAATTGTTTGCAAAAATTCGAGTCAAAAACCGTGTATCTTTCCTATCAATCTCAAAAATTCAAAACTTTCAAATGCATCGAAGAGACGCTGAATTTCACCATAATTTACCGATTTGAACTAAAATCGGTTATAAAACGTGGAAGTTATTAGGAAAATTATCTTTACAATCCGGAACCAAAAATCACGGAACTTCCTTATTACGCACTACTTAGACTTCAAAATCTAAAATGTATTCAACAGAAGACGAATTTTATCTACAGTGGAAAATACGGTAAAAATTTGCGCCAAAATTCAATCATTTTTGCAAGAAAAAAATCAAAAAAAAATTGCAAAAACTATTAAATTTAAAAAATTTAGTTCAGGTGAAAGCTGTAAGCGTAAAAAAACAAAGCAAAATGCCTAAAATTTCGATTTAAAATTTGAATCCAAATACCGCATAAATTCCTGATCATTGGCTTGATTGCAAAAGCAAATTATCACCTAAAAGTCCTTAAATTATTCATCAATTCGACATTATGAAATTTGAATTTTGCCAATAAATCCGCACGTATCGGAAGAACAAACATAAAAAAGCAAATTCCATCCGCTTAAAACATATTTAAAAATCTAAAAATAATATTTAAAGCAAACTTTTCTGCGATGCGCTTTTTAGAAAATTTTAATTCGTCATAGAAGATGAGTGTTACAGCAAAAAAATAATAATTGTTTTATAAATTTCTCTGGCTTAATTTCAAAATTAAAAAAATGTCTAAAAGATTACGCATATGAAAAGTATACAAATTTTGAGAAAAATCGGCTTTATTTTCATTCGTATCTTTTTATTATATTATTTACTGTTTACCTTTTTTGACACTGAAATCCGATGCAAACTTTTGACAAAAATTTTTTTTTTAATTCGCAGATCCAAAAATTGCATCCCTTATCCTTTACTAAAATTCAAAAATATAAAATAATCCCAAAAACCATAATTTTTGCTAAATTTTGGCATTTTTGAGATAAAAATCCAGACAAAACTAAATTTACGAAAATTTAAAAAAATTTACGAAAAAAATCGGTTCAAAAATCGTTTAACTTCATTATTAATATCAAAATTTCGAAAATATTAATTGTATCTAGAAGACGCAGAAACTGGCCAAAATTCGCCTTTCAAGATTGAAATTAGGTTAAAAATAGAGAAGTTACGCTAAAATGTATTTCTTCAAACCGACACCAAAAAGCGCATAACTCCTTTATCCTCAGATAAGGTAGTTGCTTCAGCTTAATTTAAAAAATTTAAAATTTGTCTAAATAACGATTAATTTTTTTTATTTAAAAATGCGCTTGAAGTTACAACAAAAATCCAAAGATCTAAAAAGCGCATGACTTCTTTAATCCTAATTTGTTTTCCAGGTAAAAAAAATGAGTTCAAGAGGCAATCATTTTTCTGCAATTTGCGATTTTCCCATAATTCGCCGTTAAAAAACGTAAACGGTAGGACCAAATTTTGCGTCTAAAACCGTATATCTTCCTTATCAATTCCAAAAATTCATTTTTTTTAATCCATCTGAGAAGCGCTCAATTTTTTTATAATTTGCCTGTTTGAAATGTAAAAGCCGTGACAAAATGTGGAAGTTACGAAGAAAATTGGACTTTATCCGCCGATTGACTGCAGCGTACTTTTGAAGGCCCATACTAAAATCATTATTACAGGAACTCAAAACGAAACAACTTCCGCAGCTTTCAGTTTAACGCGATTTACACCTCCACCTACACGAATACAGCTTCGTACATGGTAGGACTGGCTTTGGGCTGTTTTTACTACGCATTGGAAAAGGGTGGTGCTCAATACAAGAAATACGTAAGTAGCTGCTAAACTCGTCTGATTTGAACCGCTTTAACAGAGTGACACGAAAATAGTTCAACAGAAAATCCACCAGTCTTCTGAGCGCCATTTCCATTGACATGCTGCTGGTCGCCTCCCAAGACTATTCCAGGCCAATCAGCGTTGTTTTGGCTGGACTGGTAAAACCCTGCTACGCTTTGGGGATCGGAATCGGGATTATTTCAATGTCCCAACAGGCAAATTGCAAGTAAACCA